GGCTGCCACGGGCGCTGCCGGCTCCTGCCCGGCCCTGGGGTCCAGGGCAGCCCCAGGCCCCGCAGCATTCCCAGCTCCCGCTGCTCCCGGCCCCAGGAATGCAGCGGGGCCCTGGGGCCAAGGCAGAGGGGCAGGTCGGTGCCCACAGAGGCACATCCGAGGAATCCCAATTCCCACAGCACCGGGAGCTGGGTCCCACAAAGGGTCGGCGCCCCTGGATTCACCCTGCCCAGCAGCACCTGGCTAAAATCAATAGATACACTTTATTCCTTACAAAAAGGACCACGACGCAGCTCCCGCATCCCGGCCTGGGACAGCGGCCACGGGACCTGCCTCGGTGCCGGCCCCAGGTCTCGCTGCATCCCTGCGCCTGCAGTTCCCCCCCGGCACTGGTGCAGCTGGCACAGGGATCCCCATCCCCTGCCGCAGCCCGGGACAGGGGGGACACGGGGTTTGCAAAGGGCCAAGGCACGTGGTGAATATTCACAGTGAGAACGGGGAGCAGGGCGCCCCGCAGCCCCCGCGCCCTGCCGAGGGGTTGGCACCAAGAGCACAGGGGCTGCTTTTGGGTGTGTTTTTCTTCTTACAAAAAGAAGGTGCAAAGTGCACCCGAGTCTGTGGAGGTGCCCGGGGCAGGGGGCGCGGGCGCTACCCCCGTGTCTTGTCGTAGTCGCTCACCATGCGTTTGATGTGGAAGAGCTTGTTGCGCAGCGCTTTGCTCTCTGCCTTCTTCGCCTGGTACTCAGCACTCTGCAAGGCAGCGATGGGTGCCCGTAAGCGCAGGGACAGGGATGTGACAGCGCAAATGGGACAGCAGGGATGGGAGAGCCCAGGCACAAGTGGCCTATGAGGGGCTGGGTGCAATCCAGGCCAGGAGCAAGCGGGATGGGAATGGGAAAGCATGCAGGCACAGGTGAGCACCCTTGCAGCAGGCAGCGCTCGCTGCAATAGTGCCCAGGGCAGGAGATCACACCCCAGGGTGCTGCCCCCATCACCGCGCAAAAGCAGAGCCCCATTTGGCACACGATGCAAACCCCGGAGCATCCCGGCACCGCACGCTCACCCGCTTGGAGTCCTTGAGGCGGTTGTACTCCTCGGCCACGTCCTGCAAAAGAGCGGGGTCAGGGAATGCCACGCGCCGCTGGCAGCGCCTGGGCAGGGCTGGGGGCCACGTCCCACCTGGTACTGGGAGCTCTCCTCGGCCAGCGTGTCCAGCTGCTTGCTGAGCTGGGCCAGGCGGTCATTGACACCGTCCATCTCGGCGCAGAGCCGCTTGTAACGCCGCAGGTCGCTGTCAAACTCCTGCTTGTACTTCTGGCGGGTGCCGTCCGAGGCAATGGGCGGGTAGAGGCTGCGGGGCAGAGAGCGCCGTGAGCCCGAGCTGCCCCCGGGAGCCCCCCGGCTTCCCCCCGGCCCCGC